GCGGCCGGAGGAAACCCCAGCCCCGGCTGCTGGGAGGGAAGAGTCTCGACAATAAGAGATGCAGCACTTGGAGACATCCACAGAAATAAGTTTATTTCCCCTACCGTCAGGATTATGAAACCGCAGAAGCAGAGTTTAAATATTTACAAAGTAATCCAGCGCCCCACAGAGATGAAGAGAACAAAGGGTGAGGGTACGGAGGGCTCGCCCTCGCCAGAGAGCGACGGCGCGGCCGCGGAGCTCTGCAGCACAAGCACATGCAGAGGGGAAAGGAGCGGAGCAGGAACCTGGCGCCTGGAAGGCGAGGGACAGGGCGAGCCTTTCGCGTGGCTCGTCGAAGCGGGGACTGCGATGATGAAGGAAGCTGCAAGGAGAGGTCATTCCTCACCCTTCCGCCACCTCCCGCTGCCCATGCAGCTCCTCCACCCTCCCGCAGCGCAGAGCAGCAAACCCCGGCGTCCCACCGCCCTTCGCCGCGTGAGCACAGCTCCGCACACCCAGCATGGATGCGCGGGCCGGCTCTGCGGTACCTCAGCCCCGGCTCTCCCGTCGGCCACGTTTCCTTCGGAAGCCCGGACCGCAAAGGCCTGCCACGGCGGGGAATGGCCCTCGACGTGTTTTCAGAAGTCCCAGGAGCGGGGGCTGTGGCCAGCAGCCCCGCTCCCGGCCCCCCCGACAACTCGAAGTCTCAGCTTTGGCAACGCTTGAATAATTTGTCCATAAAACACTGGGTCAATGTGCGAGACAGGCCAAAGAGTCTCTAGATTATTGCTACTGCGTAAAACAGGTTGGCTTCAGCCCCGGGGCCAGGGACTCCGAGCGCATCCTTGGCAGGCCACTCTGAGAAATCATACTTAAATTAAAATCAAAAACAGAGGCAAAGGACGAATCTATCCTGTTCAGCTGGCTTGTCCTGGGGCACGTTCGCCAGCAGGCTCGCTGGGTGGAGATGGCAGCGACACAGGGTAGCTTGGCAAGACACCATCCTTTCATCTTTCGGTTCTCTTTGATCAAGATCTTGGCTTTCTAAGCAGCCGCAGGCCCAGCACCCTCCAGCCCGCTCCCCACGCAGGTGTGAAATGCCTGTACAGAGCAGACACCGGCGACTGCTGCAGTTCCAGGCAGGCAGGGAAGGGTGCCGAGGTCTGCACACCTCCTCCGCCCGCCCCGGAAAGGCCAGCGCAGATGACGGAGAGACAACTGGATGCTAGGGAGGAGGGAGAGGTTTAAGGGGCTACTTCAAAGTGACCGAGGAACAGCAGAAATCGAGCAGCCCAGGAGGAGTCCCCAAGCCCCCCCTACGGCTGGAGGGGCTGGAGAGGTGGAAGCAGATGGAAAGGCATGTGGGGACAGGTCTGGGAGGCAGCAGGGGGGCAGGGAAGGGGCTGCCCAGTGAGAGGAAGCCACAGAGGCGGCAGGCAGTCGAGAAGAGCTTTCTTGCTGCGCACAAGCACTCCTCAAGGTTGAAAATCATCAGGTGGTGGAGTAAAGGGCTGGCCTTTCAAGGCATGAGTGGAAAAGCTATTCTCCTCCCCCCGCAGTCAGAGGGGATCTGCTCAGCTGCACACAGCCCTTCAGCCACACTTCTTTGTCCAAAGCCACCTGGCTCAGAGCCTCACTGAAAGCAGCATGTGCAGCCCAAAGCCTCGGCAAACGCAGCCCTGGGCCTCTCACCCTGGGTCACGGCCAAACTCCCTTCTTGCCTTGCACTCCAGAACAACCCACGCCCCTACCACTCGCCCTGCCCGAGCCAGGGCTCAGAGGGGCCACCCGCGCCCCAACGCTGCCAGGCATTGCTCCCATCGCAGCCAGTCCTGCAGAGCGCTTTTACCCCAGGCTGCTTCTCAAAGCAGCCGAGGCACTAAACAGACCTTCTGGTTCACCACCTCGGAACCAGCCACGAGAAAGCCAGCGCTCCAGTTTGCTGCTGCAAAGCCCAGCCAGAACGCGGGTATCTCCCAGTCTCTCCACCTCTTCTGTTCAACTCTGAGGGTTAAGCTCAGGTTTTAGGTGCCGCTCTCATGGATGCTTTCAAAACCCTTGAGTAAGCCTTCTGTCCCAGCAACATGTACCTGCTGCTGCTGCCACCTCTGCAGGCTCAGGTATGCTGCAACACACGAAGTACTAGGGAGCAAAGGAAAGTAAGCGGCTCGTGAGCAGTGTAACGACAATTTTAGACACTCAGAGAAGCAGGGAAGCTGTATTTTCTCTTGCACAAGCTAAAAGGGACTTAGCAGTAGACTCCCAACTCTGCGACAGGTAGAGCTGAAAGCGTGCAGACTGCCACCAGCCATACCCAAGCCGGTCAATCAACTTTCCTGCCCTTCCGGGCTCACCAGCAGGACCAGGTGAATTTGCCCTGCCACAGAGCGTTCCTCTGCACGTCACCTCAGAGGAGCGTCCCACCATCAACACCTTGCTGTCACTACTGGGGAGACCGTCAGCGAGTGCTGTGGGGGTTCCTCAGGAGGAACCCCAGAACCTCCGCTTTGGAACATGCACTACAGGAGAGTCGTGCGACAGGGAAACAACAACTCCTTCTTGGAGACTCAGGAAATCTGAGGAAGCATCTGATGAAGTCTGGCAGAGGAAGAAACCAGGTGATCAGAGAGAACCTTACAAGGTGCAACTGCCTCTGCTCCTGAACCGGGAGGCAGGCTTTGCCTTGCGGCTTTACTTCGCGCTGAAAGCAAAGGTGCCCACGCCTCTCCCAGTCGCGTTCCTACCTACCAAAGCGCAGAACGGGAGCGGATTCAGGGAGCGAGCAGGAGGCTTCAGGACCCCCAACACCAGGAGACACCGTTGACAGAACAAAAAGAGAAGGAAAAGAAGCCAGTTCCAGGAAACAAAGATGAGCTGTTACAATGGAGTGGAGCTGCCACCTTCCCCAGAAAATGCCTCCCAGAGTCCCGTGCCTCCGTCTCGCTGGATCAGTCACAGTTTCTTCCTTCGTGTGCCCGTGGAACGGGGAGTTCACAGCTGCCATCACCGCAAGTGAAGCGTCAGAACAATGGTCACGATCACCCCCAAGAAGAGGACAAAGGGAAGCCAGGTCTTCACAAATCCCCCTATGCTGCAAAACAGAAGAAAGGGAAGTATTTCAATGGAAGAACTCAGCAGAGAAAGACAAAGGGGAGAGAAGGATGTGAGAATGACTACAGAAGTCAGAGGGAGGCAGACAGCTTTCCGACTTTCTTCTACACTGCCGGAACTGCCACACATCACATCCTGGGGGTTCAGACCGTGTTAAAAATCGGGACTAAATCAGGTCCACAAATAACTATCATGAACAATATGGCTGGACTCCCCTTCCAGCTTAAATTCACGTCGAAGGCTAGCACGTTTCACACCTGCACAGACAGGAGCAGTGACAGGAGACCACAAAAACTGAAACCCCATTACTGCAGGCCTCATTATTCAGACTGCTGGTGATATTTAATCAAGGCAGCAGGGACTACACTTGCCTAAAAGCTGGTAGAGAAGCTCTTCCAGAATGGGGAAGACCCAACAGAAGTGGAGCAACTCAAAAGCTTTATGCAAGGCAGTCATCGCAGAGTCTCCTCTTCAGGCACAAGGAGCTGAAATGGAGATTAAGTGCCCTTTCGAGTAAGAAAAGCTCGGGGTTTCCCCCTCCACTCAAGCTGGAAGCTCCCCGCCAGTTGGAAATCTGACCAGTTTTCAGGTAAACAAGATTCAAGAGAGGGAAGAGAAACCAGTAATCCTTGGAGCCCAGCCATTCTGCCACCTTCTGCTCCGACCTAACCCAGCCAGAAGACAACTCAGTGAGACTCGCTCTAGCTAGCATTTCCCATATTCCAGGCACCCTACATTAGCTGCCAGATACAGCACTCCGGGAGCAGCATCCAGCGCGACCCAGCAAGCACCCGCGGTTCTTTTCCTGCCAACAGGCAGCAGGCAGTGACAGTACCACCTACCAGCAACATACACCCACGCGTGGTGGGGGAGAGATGTTTCTCCTGTTTCCACAGGACAGGCTGAAGCTTTAGAGGGCTAGAAAGGACGCAAGAAACAAAGCCTCTTTGCGTGCTGAATCTGGACTGCTCCTCAGCTCACCTTACGTACTTCCCATAGAGGAGTGAGAAGAAGCAGAGTTTCACCATGTTCCAGGAGGTGCTGTTATCGTATCTCATCAAGTTTAAGGCCAGAGCCACGTGCGAATGGCAGTTGTCACAGCAAAGGTTGTGCTGGAACAGAAAAAGGCGCACGGCGTTAGGAACCCCGTGCCTGAGGCTCCCCAGTTCTGCACCCTGCGCTGGGCCAGACCCACAGGTCCCGCTCCCGCAGCAAGCGCCGGCGGGACACTCCTCCACACTGGAGCCGTACCATTCGGTGCTTGTACTCCTCCGAGGCATCGTGTACGGCTGTGTCCCAAGCATTGGGACCGGTGGAGTACACTTTGCTGGGATCCAGCTTCCAGTACCTAGGAGGGTGAGAACAGATCCTTTTGTGTAACTGCTGCACCTTTGCAACTTCTTCCCAGCTGGAAGCTGCTTAAAGGACTTAGGAGAAATCCACTACCTCCGGAGTCCATGGAGCCGAGCTCTTCTAGACAAGCGTATGCTGCAGAGCGCAGCAGAAACTACTGCTCAGCACCCTCCGCCCGACAGCACCCCAGAGAGAGAAACTGCAGAGGCCGGGGGCACAGACAAAACTCTGAACTGCTTTCAGGTCCCGTGCTGCGAAACCTTCCGGCCATTCAAAACGCAAACCTGATCTGACAGACGCACAAAACCCGGGCACCTCTCCTCCTCCCCCCAGAAAATCATTAACAGGATGTGAGCGATGACAGTTCATTAGTACAGCACAGGCAGTACTTACTTGGAGCACTTGTTGGTAACATTATCTTAAAATGTTCTAACCTTTTCTTCTCCTTTTTTAATAAAGGCTCCATAGAGCTCTAGTTACCATTACACTGCTGTCACACTTCTAAAAAGATTTAATTTAACGTGGTTTCTTGAAAAGCAGAGACACAGTAGCCATCCACTTGAATTAGGGCATCTCAACAACAAGAAAAGCAATATTATAAAACGTCCGTCTCCAGGAATTAAAGGACATCTGCAGGTCATTTGGTCAGTTTAATAAAAACTAACATGAGCACTTACTTCACTGGCTTCCCAAATGCCATGTTGTCTTCCTACAAAAAAGGAAAAACGTCTCAAGAGGACAACCCCGCGCGATATTCACGACGTGCCTCTTGCTGGGAGGCCTCAGCCCGCCATTGCTTAGCCATAAAACTGTCACGTTGCCTCCGCAGTCTCAAGACACCAACCATATTTGTGTGTCTGAATTTAGATTTCATTTGTTTTCATACTCCTCTTCTGGGCATGAGTATATTTATACTCCACACACGGTGACACCATCTAGCTACACGCTATCAGTACCACATTCCCCCTCCCTTTTATTTTTTTTAAGTATTAATATCTCGTTAACTCACAGTTGTAAATGCCCCCATCTGATAGGAGTACTAAATATCCCAACTTCAAACTCCCTTACTTTCAAACTCCACCAGACTATAAAGCAGTTTAGAAGACTGGCACGTACCTGATGCTAAGCAGCATGACAGTAACAGGCCTGCTGAGGAGGTTGGAAAGCAGCTTCTGTTACTTGGAATTATGAGAATTTAGGTCCAAAGTTCCCAATTAAGAGCCTAGACTGCAAAATTTCTTCCCTTCTGCTCACCAAACTAGCTACTATTTATCATATCCCCCAAACAATCTCCACTGGACAGCAGCCCACAGAGTAACAGCAAAGCCCCACGATCTTCCGAAACATCTAAAGCCATCATTTCGCAGAACTTTGAGCTGCAAAAGACAGGGGATGGCTCCAAAGTCACAGTGCAGGCGAGAAGCAGACCAAGCGCAGATTCTGCTTAAGCACCCGGATCCGTCATCTACTTACCGAGACAAAGTAGGGCCCCGCGAAGTCCCGGATGACTCCAGTCGACGTGCAGATACCCATGTGGCCGATGATGGGGAACAGCCATCTACCGAGGCAACAAGGGAACCGTCAGGCTGAGACATCTGCCCCCTGGGCCCCGCGGCGGCCGCCCGGCCCGGCCGGGCGACCAGCTGCAGGGCGTGGGACAGACAGGCACAGTCCACGTGTTACAGGTGACGAAAGCGGGCGAGCCAAAGGCAGGCAAAGACCGGTAAAGAGGTGGAATAGGTGCAAGCAAAAGAAAAACAGGCAAAAAACACCCAAAAGAGAGAACACTTTGGAATCCCCAAAGCTGTGCTGACAAGCAGCTCGTCTGTGGGGCAGTCAGGCGCCAGGATTTTACTGTGAGCGGTGGCAGTTACGCACGCACAGCGCAAGACTCCGCAGGCCTGCGCTACACAGGTCCCTGGCCAGGGAAGGGCGAGCCCCAGTCTCCTAGGACAAACCCGTTTCTGTTTCTGAGTGAAAAGGTTAGATCCAGGAGAAGCTGTCTTGAGATAAAATTGGACTTTCCACTTCAACAACCGAAAATAAGCTCATCCTGCCCGTTTTCCTATCCACACTGCAGCTCTTCATGGCAAACTAGATTTAAGCACCCCAGACAGAAAATGGGGCTCCGGGAAGAGCATTCCCTTCCCCTCAACGATCCCATTGCTTCCAAGACCTTCTCCTCCCCGCTGGATATTTACAGCCCAGGGAGCAACAGATCTATAACCCGACCCCCCTTCCACCATCCCCACTCAGCAGTAAACTCAGCAGCGTGCCCTGGATGCCAAGAAGGCCAATGGTCTCCTGGGGTGCATTCAGAGGAGTGTGGGCAGCAGGGCGAGGGAGGTTCTCCTCCCCTTCTACACTGCCCTAGTGAGGCCTCATCTGCAGTGCTGTGTCCAGTTCTGGGCTCCCCAGTTCAAGAAAGATGAGGAGCTACTGGAGAGAGTCCAGTGGAGGGCTGCGAGGATGAGGAGGGGACTGGAGCATCACTCCTATGAGGAGAGGCTGAGGGAGCTGGGCTTGTTCAGCCTGGAGAAGAGAAGGCTGAGAGGGGACCTTAGAAATGCCTACAAATATCTGCAGGGTGGGGGTCAGGAGGACGGG